CCGAACAAGTCTTATATAAACCAGCCTGTACAAGTGGGTCTTTAAATTAAAAATTGAAGAGCAATGGATCAGATGATGTGAGTGATCTTGGTGAAGAGTACAGTGTTATTTAGTCCAGAGATATAAGAGGCTGCCGTCCCATGGAGATACTTAAATGTGATCAGGAGAATCTTAAATTGAATGGGAAGTCAGTGTAGCTGGGCCAGAATGGGGGTGATGTGCTCTCTTCATTTAGTGTTTGTCAGAAGCTGTTATGTTCTGAAGCAATTGCAGACTCACTAATAGAAAATACTTGATGCTTTGAGCACCAAGGCCCCGCATTAAAGCAACATTAATGGAAATCCATCCAGTAGCTGTCGAGATATATTTTATTTTTTTAGCTATGCTGCTAGCTGGGCTAAAAAATATTAAGTGCTGGTGTCTTGGACGTGGTTCACAAATATATCGCAGTTGAATATAGCAGTTGAAAAATATTGCCAATTTTCAGTTAGTGATAAAGTTCAAGAAAACGAGATTATCATTCATATTTGTGAAGCTGTTTGTGAAGCTGTCTCCAATTTAAAATATTGATTTTTATAACTGAAATTTTATTCATTTATTTTACCTTTATTTATTCAAAAGAATCCCATTGACATAGAAATCTCATTTTCAAGAGACCTGAATGTACATTTAAAAAAAAAAATATAGAAACAATTCATGAGATCATCCAAAAAGAATTTACAATACAATTTAAATAACAAACAATAGAAATTAAAAAATTGTAATAAAAATAACACACAAGGAAATTTGAAAACATATAAAATGACAAAATGAAAACCTATTTATTCAGTGAGAAATCAACCTTTTTGTTGAACAAATGGATTAATAGACGGATCGTTTCAGCACAGCAGGGGTTAATAAGAACCGGATAAAGTTTAATCTGTCAGTGAAAAATGTAGACAACCACGAGCTGAACGAAAGTCAGTGCTATACTTAAAATACCTTCATTAATTGCTCTCCCATCCTTCAAGCCCCTTGCGTGTAATTTACAGTGTGGTTCTACTTGATGCTATAACTCTGAATCTAAAGGAGGAGTTGAGTTTATGTTCTTGCTCTCTGATTGCTGCCAGTCTGTTTTTATGGCTTTGACATTACACAGCTGTCAGTTCTCCGTGTTTTACTGTCTGTTGACAGCAGTGACAGCTAAATATGCTAAAGTCAACTAAGCCAAAGTCGCGCCGGGCCAACTAAAATACCAAATACAATGTTTAGATTTGGTTCACTGTGGGTCTGAAACGCCGGCGGTTTGGGTGGAAATCTGTCAAAGCAGAGATGATGTCATTTTCCCTGCTCAGAAATACCCTTGTTTTCACATTGTCTGGATAATGTGACCTCTGACCCTTGGCCTTGACCCTTCTAACTGCTGGTGCTTTTTTTTTTTTTTAATGTGGCTAAACCATGAAGTTGAAGCCAAATCCAGTGTTGTAGTATTCACTAGAATGTCAAAATGGAGCTGTTTCTGGGATTAAAGTGGTAATGTGCCCTTTTCTCCCATGCTAACATCACTAATAATGCATCATATCAACAACCATTGGATGGACTACCAAACCTTTAGTAATCATTTTATTTATAAAGCATTTTCCACAACAGGTAAGCTAATCTCATCAGGACATTTAAGGAGAGTGACGAGGCTGCTCTTGTCGCACTGTGTTGTGGGAATGTACAGTTGTGTGTCATTAGCCATGCTAGCAGATCCATGAAGCTGTACTTAGACAAAACGGTGTTTGAGTTAAATGCTAATGTAATATGATAACGTGCAATGTTTACCACCTTAATTTAGCATGCTAGCATGCAAACATTTTTTCCTTGTTCGTCCTGTTCTGTCGTTCTGTTTGCAGCGTTCTGTTTGCAGCGTTCTGTTTGCAGCGTTCTGTTCTGTCGTCCTGTTCTGTTGTTCTGTTTGCAGCGTTCCGTTTGCAGCGTTCCGTTTGCAGCGTTCTGTTTGGCTCTGTAAGACATTTCACATTTCATTGGAGCAAATGGATCAAATTCACTTCAGGGTCGTTTTAGGGTGTTTGATGATTTACAGCCATTTCTTTTGTAACGATTATGTAAGGAGAAGAACGCCTGTTTGGTTCAGTAGGTGTCACTTGACTCCCGAGCTGCTTGTGGAGGCGTCGTTTGTTGTGGTCGTCCTTGTAGTGATGTGACATCTCATCTGCTTGACTGATCTGTAGCATCTCTGCTAACCCCTGATAGCAGCTGGAACTTGTATTCAGCACCACTTCCTGAGCAGACCCACAGTTAGCTCCAAGTGAACTGTGGGACAAAAATGGGTACGTTACTTTACGCTACATCAAGTTCCTGCAGTTAAAAGAGCTGCGTCGGGCCAGTCAGGGTTTATACATCAGCCTGTAGTTATCAAACAGGAATCGCTGTCATCACAGCCGGCACCAAACTGGGCCACATCACCCCCTGATCTTGGACCAGGCATTTGAAAATATTTGCACCAGATCAGGAAAGTGAGAGAAAGCGAGATGTGTTATTCTTCACCAAACAAACGAGAGCTGAAATGCCAAGAACAATAAATATGTTCAGGGGATTTTTACACCAGCAAAGGCTGATGCAGATACTGGTGTTTCTGGAGCCTGTTGAAAGCTGATATTTCAGTTGATATATAAGAAATATGATTAATGACTCACCATAACTTTACAGAACTCAACTATAGAAAGACAAAAACATCCCAAAAACAAATACACAGCCTCCCCGTCTTTCCATGATTTGTATGTTTTTCTAAAGAAACGAGCTGTTATATCACCTCAGCGTTTCCCCACAGGCTCCTCTTTTCTTCCGTTAGACTTTTGAGCTTTCGGATCCTTTTGGCGGTGAACCATCCTGAACTACAGACGACGGGCTTCCTCCACCTTTTGTTTTAATCTCTGGCGAGCAGATAAGAGCGTCCACACCTCCGTCAAAACAATAAGAGACGAACTGCAGAGTCAGAGAGCTGACAGGCAGCACTGTGCTCAGGTGTCAGTCTTTTCAAAATGTGTGTGTGTGTGTGTGTGTGTGAGTGATGGATGGGCAGAATCCATAAAGAGCTGATGTTTAAATAAAATATGAAGCAGAGGTGAGCAGTGTGTCCCTGCTGTGGTCTGACCTCGTCTGTCCTGCAGTCAAACACTGGAGATCAGATTTATTGCTGTATAAAAACTGAAAACCTGAGAATGCTTGACGTTGTTCTTTGGTAAATGACTGAATCGATTAATAGCTGGTTTTCCTGCTCACTGACAGATTTGAGTTTGTGTAGAATCTGCACTCAGGCGAGCCAACATGTGCCAGTAGCCACATGTTAAACTCTCACAGCTTTCAGAGTGAACTTACTGACAGAGCTGTCCTCATTCTATCACTTTTCCATGTTTCAGCTGTTACTAGGGTTGTCACCGTACACCGGCATTGACACTAACCCTGATATTTACAAAGTGAAATAATATAACATAAGATAAGCTAAGATAAAATAAGATAAGATAAGATAAGCTAAACTGAGCTAAGCTAAAATAAGCTAAGATAAGATAAGGTTCCCGATATCGATCCTCTGTAGAGAGTCATTTCAAATTTGACACAGCAGCACAAAAGAATAGCAGCAAGGGAAAAATGTAATCAGAAATAAAATAAGAATAGAAACAGAATCTCAAATAATTAAGATAAATAAGAAATACTATATATAATAACAATGTACAATCCTTTCTGTACAAGTGCAGTATAAAAATAAATAAATGGGAGCTGCAATTTGTCCCAGTTCTATATCTATATGTTATATTGATATTGTTAATGATACACACATGGTCATATGATAATGGCAGATGTTAGTACTTGTGGATCTTTTGTTTATCGGTTCATCTTGTTGCATTTTCACTGTCTGTTGAGTGTAATTGTTCGTTTTGTTCAGTTATGGTCAGAGATTATCTCTCAACATCCTTACACGTGTATTTGAGTCGAATTCATTCACACAGAAAACAGACAATAAACAAGGTTAAAGATGAATTTGCTGATAGAATTATTATCATTATTAATATTAAAGTTTGCGATGGAAATTGTGATAATATCGTTACTGTGAATTATTTTGGCCATTATGATCGTGTCATGAAAATCTGATATCATGACAGCCCTGATGGTTTTAAATAAAGACTTAATTGTGATCATGTTTAGTTGTAGCTTGTTGGAAGTCTAAATGTGATGTCCGTCTGTCTCTGAAATTAATCTGTGCAGCTCACTCTCCTAGAATTGACATTTTTATACAACTAAACCGCAACAGCAGAAACCTTTTGTAGGAAATGAAATCACTGTAATCACATATTTTATAAACTGAAGCATGAAACAGTTAAATAACGCTGGAGTCACAGTCATCATCAAATATTTTACTGATGCGGTCGGTATCAATGTGTCTGTTACTTGCCAAATTCATAAATTAAGGTTTCCATAAAACATTAATAGAAAATGTAATCTGGTGACAGTTATAAAACAGTTTAGTTGTGTAGCAATATAATTTCTGGCCTTAGGTGCAGGGCTTATATATATGCCCTGTGCTGTGCATATAAATGCATGAATGCATTTATAATTAAAGTATAAACTTGAGTTATTATATTATCCTGATATGAAGGTCCGACAGTTTGCTTTTGTTATCAAGTCACACAAAAACAGAAAAACGCAGTAAACACACAAACATTTACTGACAGATGATGATTCGTCTCTTCAGCAGGTTGAGTGTCTTGTTCCCGTTGTAACAGCATCATCGTTGCTTGATGGAGTTTTGATTGGCTCTCCTGGGGCGTTATCCTCTGTGCTGCAGCAGCAAACCCACACACACACACAAACACACACTCACACACACAAGTCACACATCATGTGTGAAGGTGGTACCCAGTGTGAACCCTGGTCACCTGTTTTACCACATTAAGAGACACTGGACAATTCAATATAATCAGATTGTTCTGTGTTGCCCCCTTCTTCTGTTTCCTCAGGGAGTCCAGTACAGGTGGCAGTACAGGTGTAGGAGGAGGAAGGTGGAGGTTCCGTCACGTCGTCCCAGTCGTGCTGCTGTGGATGACCCTGCACAGGCACGGTAGGTCCCCGCCTCTCCTACCATGTTGATTTTCATTTGAACAGGAAGTGTGTCTTGTTTTTGATTAGGAGGAAAGAGGACTAAGTTGCTCTCACAGCTGTTAAACCGACAAAGACGAGTCAATACAGAGTCAGAGCAGAGGTGGAGGATCTGAAGATCACATCTACATCTGTTGAAATGTTTCAAATCCTGAACTTTAACCTGGGAAAGAAATTTGAACGTAGCAAACATTCATCATGTGTCTGCCTTTAATGCTGCTACAAAAACGACTCATTCATTCAAATGTAAATAAGACAGCTTCATGCAGCTGCTTTGACTTGGTCTTCATTACTTAATCTGTTTGTTGTTCAGTCTCTTTTATTTTGTCCATCTTTATGACATAAAAATAATGCACAAGGATCACTATGGAGTGATTGTGTTCGGTGCTTTGTGTGTCTGTCAGTGTGTGTGTGTGTGTTGTGGGTAGATATAGAGATATAGATATACCTCCATCCTTGTGAGAACAAATTCTAGCGTTAGATCTTGTAACAGAGGACAGAAACAGATATTTTATGAATGTGAAAGATTTTTTTTCTCAGTGAGGACAGTTTTGGAAAAAGGAGACATTTTTTAAAGGCAAGGAGATTTTTGAAGAGTGAGAACATTTTGTCCAGGTCTCCTGGTCCTCTCCTGGACCAGTGACAGTTCTCGGGACCTTTTTGGAAACAGTGAACAATTTTGTTTAATGGGAGCACTTTTGGAAAGTTTTGGAAAGTTTGGGCATTTTTGAAAAGTAAGAAAAATTTTTTTAGGTTACAATAAGTGGACATTTTTGGAAGGCCGTTTTTTATGGAAGTACAGATATGTTTTGGAAAGTGAAAACATTTTAAACACTTAGGAAGTGAGAACTTTTTCAGGAGGTAAGGACGTTTTGGGAAAAGTTAAGACATTTTAGGATAGTGAGGAAATTTTTCAAAGGTGAGGATATGTTTCCACATATTTCTTTGAAGATACTTACTTACTCAAAATACTTTTAATAGTTCTTTTTAAATTAAGTTGTTTTTGTAAAATATGGACACAAATTTGGACAAGTGAGGACACTGCTGGAAATACCGGTGTTGTTTTACAAAAGTGGGGACGTTTTTAGGAAGTGTGGGGACTTATTGGACATTTGTGGAAATTGAGGACCTAAATTTAAAGTTATTTTCGAAGTAAATGACATTTTCAAAAAGCGTTCATATCTTGGAAAAGTGAAGATATTTACAGAAAGTTTTAGAAAGTGACGACATTCATTTCTATGGCACTGACACCCTATATATGGTCCTCACAAGTATAGTATACGTGTGTGTGTGTGTGTGTGTGTGTGTGTGTGTGTGTGTGTGTGTGTGTGTGTGTGTGTGTGCATCTCAGCTGCCATTATACAGTCACACAGGGCTATAATTGAAAGAACCACAAAAATCAATCTCAACTTGTGTCAATATTTCCTAGAAAATGAAACAGCTGTGAGAGCAACAAACTAAATATTCCCTCTGACATAATAATGTAATAATCATCATCTGCAGCCTCAGCTTGTCTTGAATGTAGCTGTGAATGGATTATGAATAATTAAATGTAATGATTTTAGTGTCAACAGTAAAGATGTATTATCTGGAGACACTCAGACATTTAATCCTCTCATTGAAATGAGTGTTTTTCTTCATTTAAAGTGACCAAGACGCTTTACAGGCTCATTATAAGAGGAGATTACATTACAATTATTATAATGACATTATTCTATATTTGAATTGCATAAAGTTGAAATCTTTATGGGGCAATTGTGTGAACAACAAAATATTAAATTAAATATAATTTTCCATGCTGTGTGATGATTAAATTTGCACTTTATAGCAAACATCTCTTTAATGTCATTTCATTTGCTGTTGCTGTTTTATTTTGTTGATGATCTTCATACGTATTCCTTCATTCCCATTTTGTTTGTTTAAAATCATCATGTTTTCCATGTTGTGTGTTTCTGCTGTTGGGTAAAAATGCTGCATTTCTTACTTGAAAAGGAAGTGAAGGTATTTTTGTGTGGTGGTTTGCTCAGTGGCGACATGAAAACGATGCCTGAGTCTCGTTAAAAAGCCCTTTGTGTACTTTTCAAGACACATTTGAAAGCAAAACCCAGTCCCTCGGAGATGCAGCAGTTTTCATCTGACAGCAGTGATTTATATGATTTCCATCTTTCATTTGTGTCTTTTCTTCTTCCCATGTTTCCACCGTCCATTCACTTGTTTCCTCTTCGCTTCATCCCACTTTGTTTTTTGCTCACATTTTCCATCCCTGTGCCCGAGAGCATGCCTCGTTCTCCTCGTGCTTCCATTAACGAAACCACTTGTCATGTTGCAGAAAAAGTCACAACTCTCAACACTTCATGAAATCTGCAGTCAAAAATTGTTTCCATCTGGTTTCTGCTTTAATCACTAAGTGCTTTTATTTTGGATCCATCCTGAAACGTTTGCAGCTCATCACGATTCATTCATTTCTAAACACTGTCAGACATTCATCAGGGGAGTTTCCTCTCATTCAAACATCGAGAGCATCTGTGAGGTGATCAGGTCTGGGGGCTCTCAGTCTGTTGGAGCAGGGTGTCCACACACTTTTGGACACATACTGTTTTGTGTTTTCCCTTAATAGCAAATGGAGGTAGAGAAAGTGGAGACAGAGAGAGAGAGAGAGAGAGAGAGAAGGCAGAGAGAAATCTTGGCTGTTGGTGTTTTCCACATTTAGGCCAAAATCTGAAAAAATTGAAAATTAAAACTCAAACAGAAAGTGAGGGGGAGAGAGCGCGCGCGTGTGTGTGTGTGTGTGTGTGTGTGTGTCTTTAATGTATTTTCCATACCCTACTAGCAGCCTCGGGCCAAACCGAGCGGTTCACACACACTCGTAAAGTTCCCAGCAGTACTAAACCACAACACACACACACACACACACACACACACACATAGAGGTTGGTGAGTATGCTGTGCTTCTGGTGACAAGAACATGACCCATACGTGTGTGTGTGTGTGTGCGTGCATGTGTGTGTGTGTGTGTGTGTGTGTGTTGCTGACCAGTAGATAAACTGAAGGTTTGAACGCTACAAGACGCGGAAACTATAAATGTTTCAGTGTGATAAAGGACGTGAGACTGAGTGAGAGAGAGAGAGAGACATAGGGTTTGGCTGTGGTTTCAGCTCTTTTCCACTCTGGCATCTGATGGGATTTTGTTCGTCCATGTTGACACGTTGATGCATAATCGGACCGCGAAATATGCACACAAACTACACACTGTAACTCTAGTGATTGTTCATCAACTCCACAAATCTCAGAATAAACGCTCAACCGTCGACATGTGCAGGTCCAGTCGAGAGAGGACGTTCACATTGTTCTCACGGTTTCGATATTTTCAATATTTTGTAGGTGAATCTTCTCTTCAAGTGTGAGATTTAAGCAGCTCTACAGTTTATATACACAAGTACCACACGTTTATATGACTTTATATGTTGTTGACCTTTTTATTCAGGACCTTTTCATACTGAATAAAATGTAAGATTGAAGTGCCAACATGTGTTTGAACATACATAGACACAACCCTATCTCCAGTGTGTTCATAGTGATGCAGCAGTAATATACTAATGTTGTTAGTACAAAACAAAACTCAGAAAATGATTTATTATTCAAGCTGCAACTGGATTTGCCCTTTTTATTTTTGTTGAAACACTCAATAATTTTTTTTTTTCAGTTTTTTAAGAGCTCGAACAACTCGTAGCTGATGTCACAAGCAGCAGATATATTGGTATCAGCACTAGGCTTTGGGCGATATCCAAAATGTAATATCTCGATACAGATACATGTATACAGTATATGATATTATCACAGGTGGGTGGTGGGTTATTATTTAATTATATTAGTAGTATGTAGTTAATATTTCTATTGTTTTTTTATTATACATAATTCTATTATTTTATTTTATGTTTCAGGTATAAACGATGCTGCCACTGAACAGCAGTTCAAAGTTCATGTCACATGCCAACATGTACAGTCAGCAAAGCAGTGACATTAGGGTCCAATTCAATCAGGACAGATTATACAAAACTAAAAACAAAAACAAAAAAAAAAAATCGATATTACGAAAAATATTGCATGTGGCGGGATTTATCGAGACATTGGCCCAAGCCTAGTCAGCACATAATATCACCCAGTAATATCTCCATACAGTATATACCTATATCTCATCACTGTTTTTTAATGACCAATTTTCTTCAATGATGCCTCAGTATCGGCCTCTCATCAGGCTCCACCTCCAGCATTGAAGAACTCCTTCTTTTCCAAATGATCAGAAACTTTGTCTTAAAATCAGGGATTTTTTTTGATTCAGTTTGGTACAGAATGCTGCCATGTCGAGGTTGACCAGAGTACATCGTTTTTTTCATGTAGCCCCAATACTGGACGGTGTTGTAATCCATCTTCACACATGTTTGTGCGTATAGTTGTTTTTCTCAGTGTGCTGCAGTTATCTGAACAATATTTCAGGGTTTTTTTCCGCCCAAACAATAATGAAATTCTTGTGGTGAATCGCTGATTAGTTGTAATTTGTTTTCTTGTTTTCAGCATGACTGTGTCTGAAAACAAATATTATCATAACTCATAAAGGGTTGATATCACCCTTAATGAGATTAATCTTAATTACAGCTGATTGCATTTGGACCATGGGGGACTGACTCAGTTTTCCATGTGTGGTTTTAAAGCATTGATGCAATGCAGCCACTGCAGAGTGAGGAAAAAAAACATGTGCCTCCAAGTAAGTGACTGCACAACATCCTGCTGTGGTGGATGAAAATTGTGTTCAAGCATCAAATTTGTGAGCAGAACACGCAGAATATTAATGATACACAGACATTGTAGTTGTACATAAAAATGAATTAATGAGAATGAATTTGTTTGTGAGAAAACACAATTTGAGAAAGTGGTGAACTGTGCGTAACAAACCAGACACACAGA